AAAGTAGAAGGAAAAACCAACAAATATCACATTGGAACAATGAAATGTAAACCAGAAAAGCAATAGAGAACATTTAATGAAACCAAAATCTAGTTCAGCTAGAGGTTCATAAAGTTCTAGCCAGAAATTCTGTCTTCTCTTAGGTTAGGAATAAAGGGAAGATTAAATTTACAAATATTAGTAATGAAAAAGTATAACTATGGTTTCTACATATAATAGAAGGATAAGGAATTATTATAAACAACTTTTATGCTGATATATTTAACAACTTTAATGAACTGAACTAATTCCTTGAAAGACACAAAGCACCAAAGGGGTTCAAGAAGAAATAAATAACATACCTACACTGATTAAAGAATATTCTGAGTGAAAGGATAAACAAATGGTGATACATCCATATATTGGAGTACTTAATCAGCAATGAAAGAGTGAAGCATTATATGCACAATAACATGGAAGAGCATGAAAATAATTAAACAGTGGAGCAAATCAAACAAAAAGCCGAGTGTATACTTTATATATGCATTTATATTAAGTTCCAGAAATTGCACATTAATCCAAAATGAAGAAAGCAAATCAATGGTTGCCCAACAACAAAGAGGGACTAGAGAGGGGGAATCCAAAGGGGTGTCAAAAAACATAAGGGGATCATTATCTTCATTCAGTAATGGTGGGTTTGTGTGTATGTGTGTGTGTGAAAACTTATCAAACTGTACACTTCAAATATGTGCATGTATATGTCAATTATCCCTTAATAAAGCTAATAAGACTTCTTAAAAAAATGAAATAAGGAAAACATTTGATATATGTATATAAAAAGTTAACTGCCGTGAACTATCATCTAACTTACTGGATACCTCCATAAATTTCTTTCTCACTTTTAAGGAGACATATAAATAAGTAAAAAAAAATTAAAGGACACATATAAATAAAGAGAAGAAAGCCAATCAGAAAAACTCTGTGCTTACTCTGTAAGCAGTGTCCATTCACTGACACCTCTTAGGTCTACCTAAGTTATTTAGTAGCCTAGGATCACCAAGCAGACTATCCCCAGAACTTCAGAGAACACAGGAAATGTGTGAAAAGGACTCAGAACTGCTCAGAACTTCAAAGTTACATTAATGGAAAGTATATTTAGGTAAAACATTAAGTACATAGACACTGAAAATTCCTGGGTGACCTCAGTCTCTAAAATCCATTCACTTGACTCACTGACATTAATAATATTTTCGTTTTCTTATGTTAGCCTTCAAAAACTATGGGGCGGGTTCTGGATTCTTATTCCTGGCTCTCTGGCCAGTACATGTACTGAGCCTGGGATGTGGCCAAGACAGCCCTGTTGACTGTACCCACATGGAATCACACTACTCTCTCTGTGCCAGTGCTGGGCAGACTTCTGATAGTATTTTCTGCAATCTTTTCAATTTCCTGCCTTTCAGAAAGTTATAGCCGGAATGTAGCTTTCACCTGCCTGGTATAGACATTTGCAAAAACAAATCCAATGTCACCATGGGGAAAGGAGCTTAATGTCTTTCGTGGGTGCTCATCATCTCTATTTGATCACTTTTTCTGCCTTAGGAAAAGGCTTGTGTTTGCTAAATTTTTCCTACCACTTCCTTTCCTCCTTATATTACTCTCCTGAGTTATAGGTTTGTAACAATTAGTAAATAACTTTGAGGTATCTCTTAGTCTTTTCACATTTTCAAACCAGTTTTCAACAACTCTGCATCCACATTCACCAGATTTTGTAACGAGTCAAGTTCCTGGGCTGATACTTTTGATCAGTTCTGTGTAAAAATCACAGAGGACACAGTGAATTTTTCTGATCATATTGTATGTACCAGGGCAGAGCAGGGGAGTTATTGGTCCATTTAGAAGAGATTCTTCCTCGGAAGGCTCTGACACAGGATTGTTTTTCAACATAATTGAATCAGGAAATCTTTATTGACCTCTCGACAGTGTTTAAACACAACCTTTGAAGCTCACTCTTTCTTTGGATTATAGAACTCCTGCTTAACTAGTTAACTTCTCAAGTTTACTTTGACAGCTCTTCTTCCTAGTTTACGTGCCCCCAAAGTGAAAACGTAGACATTTCCCAGGCTTCTCTAGACTCTGCCAAAAACATCTTACCCACCCTCTCGCATGGTTTTGTACTTCTTGGCAGATAGTTTCCAAATGTCCCCCATTCTCCTTGTCTCTAAATTGGCATTGTCTGGTAAGAAAACCACTAACTACTAGTTAATTATTTTGAAACATGGCTAGTCCAAAATAGATGTACTATAAAACACAAATTGGATTTTGAAGACTTAGTACCAAAAAAAGTATAAAAAAATAGTAATTTTATATTGATCACACATTGAAATAATAATATTTTGGATAAATTGAGCTGAATAAAATATATCACTAATTTTATCCATTTATTTTTATGTTTTGCTAAATTATGACTACTAGAAAATTTAATATTATGTACGTGACTCACATGGCATTTCTACTGGACAGCCCTGCTCTACACCTAAATTCAAATGGGCCATTCAAATTGAACGCAGGAGAAGCTGAACTCATGGTATTGTGGCCACTCAAGCCTGCACCTTCACTGTTACTACAGCAAAAATATCAGTAGTCGTGAGAGAGAGATTGCATAACATCAGCTGTTACTGTTGAGGAAACTGTAGGACACAGGCGCTAACCCTAGAATGAATTACTTATGAATAGGGTGACGGGTAACAGAGCCTGGTAATTGCAGAAGATTCTGTCAACATTTGTCATGTCAGCTGCAGCAAAAAAGTCTGCAGGAATGGAAAATAACACAGTAAGCATTTGACCAGAGAGGGGCAGTAGCAATTAGGAACAAAAACAGCCTGGAATCTGCCAAGAGTGAACGATTATGCATTCAAAGTCAGAAAAACAATTGCACACTGGAGACATATTCACTGTAGGTAACTGAATCACCCTAATATGCAGAACATTTTTCTTGCATTATTGTAGAATGGATTCTTCTTCATTTAGCCTGAAGTTTGGAGTCATTTGTTCTCTTTCTTTTATTACCCATATCCAAGCAACTAACAAATCCTGTTTATTCTACCAATCCCAGTACACCACATTCACATTTTTTTTTCCTCCTTAAAGACAACCAGAGAAGGGAAGCAATAGTCTTCCCACACAGCCCTGTGAGATCTGGGGCTTGGTGCAGGTTGAGAAAAAAGGGACAGGTCACCTCCACAACATACATTCGTGCTGACAATGCCCCAAAGCAAGGCTTGCCTCTGTATCATTGCAGATGGACTTGCCAAAAAAAAAAAAAAAAAGTCCTATTATTTACAGTTATCCTCCCACAGACATAACAGTAGTTAGGAATGCAAATAGATGAGACAGACCCCATGATCACCAAAGATGACCTGGGAAAGGCTCTCTGCACAGCAGAAGCACCTTCTTTGCTCTTTAATGTCTACACACCTCCATCATTCTTATTTCCGTCATTTCCTAATAAAATAAGCTGTGTGGGTGGGTGAACACAGTTACAATACTGTACACAAAAGGGATTCTGGATTATCTGTTGATTTGCATTAGAAGAACTCCTTGAGAGTGGCACAGATGCCTGGCATCTAATGGTCAGCCTAATGACCATGCAAACCTTATGAAATTTGAAAACTTTCTGAGCCATCTAGAAATGCTCTTCTTAAACTGGGAATTCTCTACGTATGTGCTATGTGTCAGACACTTTACCAGGCTGCATAACTTTTGCAGTTTTGTTTTTGTAAAGGCTGTATGCTTACTGCATCTTAGACTGTGCCAATCATGTTCAATAATAGAATGTATAATTTTAAATTAGAAATCTCTTCTTTCTGAAGTGTGAACATAGTCGCATAGAAGTGACAATGTTTTCATTATTCTTTAGTAACTAGAAGTTAACATTCCAATTTTTTTTTTATAATTTACTTTTTAAAATTGCTCCTTAGTCTAAAAGGTGCTTTTTATGCCAGATTTTTGCTTGACGAAGTACATAAGCCTAACTTATGTGTCATAGAAACAGATTTATAATGGAAAGAATGATATATTTAAATGTAATTTGGTTTTCATTTCAGAAAAATTAACATCACATCTTTCAAATATAATAAGTTTGAAGGATGAATTAAAATAATTGCCTAAAAAATTACCAATTGGCATTTTTAAGAGCATTATTCATCTTAGATGTTTCATATTTAGCATATCTAGATTTGACTAGATATGAATAACTGGAAATTTAAAATCTTATCTAAAATATCAAATCAGGATATATATTTCAAAGTGTGAATGTGTCTGGTTGTCGTTGGTGCCAAATTAAGGTAATAAACAGTAAAAACAATATTGTACAAGGAAACAAGCTATTGATATTTTAATATTTTAATCAGTTTTTCCTGATGCATGTAAGCTGTTCAGGTACTCTAAGTATTTTTGTATTTATTACCATCAAAATATTCTAGGTAGTTTCCAATGTGGAGATTCACTAAAGGCTACATGCAGAAATTCTTCTAACTGTATGTTAGTTAAAGGCAAAAACGTCTGACGCAAAGATTTGAAACACAACACCATTTTTGAATTGATCCTTGTTGTTATGGTAAAGACTTTTAAGCTTTAGTCTAACAACAGTTTCAGTCATTTCTTTTGCTGTTCAGCTGTTGTCCCTGCATGTGCCTATTATTTTTTTATGTACCTACTAAACAAACAATATATCAAATAGATTTATGAATACTAGTGATTGTTCATGTCCTATACATTTTACTTAATTCAAATTATAGAATGATTAATTATTTTATGAAGTACATTTATATGCTTTGATTTAGAAGAATTCTGTATTCCTACAACTTTTCTGCAGCAGAAAACCATGTTAACACATGGTTCAAATACGGCTATGATCCAAAAAGGAAGCACATTCCTTTTAGTAAAAGCTTCATGTCCCTTCAGCTTCTTTCCAACCCGCCTTTACCACACTGGGACTAAACCGTGACATCAGTGAACTGTACCTTTACTGCGCCATTCTCATGCATGGTGATGCAGTTATCTGCATCTTCTGAGAGCTGATACAAGGCTTGGGCTGTTGCTCGATGCACATTGGTGTCATTCGATTTCAGGTAGCGCACCAAAGGAGCCACTGCTCTGTGCTCACCAAAGGCCACTCTGTTTCTGCCCCACATACAGCAATGTGAGACAGCCTCTGCCAGATGATGCCTCAATTTATCATTATTCTGCACAAAGAAAACCAACTTAAGAAATGTGCATTGTAATCACTGTGTGTGATCGCATGTGTGCACTTTATGCTTATGGCCACTAGATGCAAATGAGTTTAGAGGGATGCAGTAGCTGGCTCCTTAGGGAGTGTTTCAAAGGAGCTAGTATTGTGGTGGGTCACCAATACCAAGGTTCAATTCTGAGTTTTCTTTGTACAAACTGGATTTTATAGAAAATTGGATATTCTTCAAGGAATACCTCACATAGCTGGGATAAATGGATTAATTCTTCTTCACCTTAGGAATACTTCTACATCTTGGTAATACACCTTGGGCCCCAAGGGGGTGAAGACAGTGTAGGAAATATGATAACATATATGGGGTCCTCCATTTTTTTTCTGTATACCTTGTGCAGATTAGATCCTTTTTGTATGTAATTACCTTGTACAGGTAAAATGTAACTGAATTGGACATGGTCTCTGTTTAATTGTACTATTCTCCTGACTCAGGCAACAACTTGGTGAACTTAACAATCTAGCAGATTCTCTTAGGAACTCAAAGTATCCGATAGCAGGTATTGTTCCAGTGCTTGAATTTCTGCTCTACGACTTTTCTGCCAAGTGGCAGTCCAGGCTATGCTTGAATACCTCTGGTTAAGATGAAGTCATTGTCCCTCAAGGCTGCCTATTCTATCTGGCACAGCTTCAGGTAAACAATACAGTGGTTGCCAACACCTTCTAGCTTAAGAATGCTACCAATCCAAGCTTGCTAAGCGGAGGAGGTGCCACTCAACTTCTAATGTCGGCATGAACAATAAAAATGATGACAGTGGCAGTGAATAGGTAATACTTACATAGTAGCACTGCTATTTGCCACCACTTCACTTGCCAGTGACAAATAAAAAAACAGTCTCTTAGGATGAAGTTGTGGCTTAGTGGTAGAGCACGCACCTGGCCTGTGTGAGGAACTGGGTTCGATTCTCCACACCACATATAAGTAAATTAATTAATTAAATAAAGGTCCAACAACAACTAAAAAAATTATTTTAAAAAAACAGCATCAATTCTACAGGAGCCTGCATATTAACATTTTATAATTTCGAAATATACTTTTGCATAACTAGGTTTCAGAAAAATTAAGGGAGTTAAGAAAATCTCAGACTTCATAAGTGGTGGATATTAACCATGAATTCAGGTCTCTGGGCTTTAAACTCACGATCTGACAATAAATATTAAAAATAAAAAAGATGGGCTACTTACTGTATTTGCCAGCTTGGACAATAAAGGAACAACCCCATGATCTGTAATAACAGCTAAGTTTTCTTGATCTTTTGCTATATTGGTAATAGCAGCACATACGCTCGCCAAAACTTCTTTGTTATCCGATTTCAGTAAATTGACAACAAGTTCCAAACCACCAACAAAGGAACGAACCATTTCTCCAGCATCCTAGACAAAAAATAAAAATAAAGATGGTATCAAAAAATAACCTATATTTAAGATCTTTTTCCAAAGGTAGAAAGTGAAAAAAAAATCTGTGAGGTATACATTTGGAATGAAAGACAAATTCATCTTAATTTATTTTTATATTATATATAATTTCTATGCATGTCTGTATGAAGTATATGTGCATATATGTAATATGAATATATATGAATATATATGTATATGTAATATGAGTATACACAGATGAATGTATACACACACACACACACACACAAAAAAAATTCAGTTTGAAGACCCATTTTGTGGAAGTCACTGTATGAGCTACTAAGGACACAGAAATTAATAAAATACAGTTGTTTTGTTCTATGAAGACACTATGAGCCAACAGTGAACAGTGAACCACTGCTGTTAGAGGTGACACAGAGTTGGGTTCTTGCAAGACTCTGGACACAATATTTTCATCATTTTGTGAATATATAATCTTGTTTACATGGTTCTGTTTGAAAACACCTCATTTCATATAGATTCTTAAATCGTGAGCCTTGAACTCACGGCCAACAGTGCTGTAACTCATGCAAGGAAGCTTATCCAACCAACAAATTTTCTCCATAAGGCACATGAAAGACGTCACAACCAGTGAAAGTCCACAAAATGTACAACTGCAAAAAATGGGATCCTAATTAGAACAAGTGAGACTCCACGTCAGTATGTCAAAGTACACTCCACTGTGATATAGCTAAAACTTTTTTAAAAGCCCTAGTTAGAGCCTAGGGATGGAGTCCAGTGGTGAGGTGCTTGCCCAGCAGGTTGGAACCCCTGGGTTCAATTCCAGGATTAAAAACAACAACAATACTAGTAGCACAACAGTAGCACTGCAGTACTAGACCATTTTTAAGCCGTGAAATAACTAACAATATATACAAAAGTATGAAAAATGTGGCTCAGGGACCAGAGATGGATACTTATTGACAGTATAAGGGCTGAAACAAGAAGGAAAACATTATCTTATTCCTGCTGGAACATGCACGTCGGAGGACACCAAGTTTCCAACTTCTGCGCAGGTCAGAGAATGACTGTGAAAACACCCTGAACATCGGTGTGGGGGTTACAAATAAAATTTAGCAAGAATTCATCAGTAACGTGGAGAGATTATATATATATTCTCTCTCTCTCTCTCTCTCTCTCTATCTCTTTCTCTCGCCATCCTATTGGGTACAATGGGTCGGGAAGATTGATACTGAGAAATCACACATATAATGAGTAGCACTTGGGGGGAGCAGGTAAAGGTATTATGAATACACACAAGGGGATTTCAGCTTTTGTAAAAACTCAAGGATTGCCTCCCCAAGAGGATCTCTGTTAGTTAAAGCCTAAGGGGCACAGGGAGCTATCCATATGAAGGGGGTTATGGATGGATGACTCTTCATGTGACATAGATTTATGAGAAAGAAGGTGGTCCCCCCCCACACACCCCAGTTCAGAATGGTTATAGCCTAAAATAAGAAAAGGAGCTTGGGAGAAAATGAGAATGAAGAGGTGATATCTTGAAGGAGCTGATAAAGACTTGGTGGAGTTTGGAGTTCTTTAAAGGCATTTGAAAGTCACAGAAGAGGCTTAAGTATGGGCGGTACTACTCTTGTACCCTAGGAAATCTCTCAGGATTATGGATTCAGAGTTGGGGTTGGGACAAAGAATGAGGTTAGGAAGTCATAGGCTATTTCACGAGTCCAGACAACAGATTGGTGTTAGAGTGGAGAAAGGGGATGATCAAAGTCTGCAGAGAAAGGTGTGGATTGGGGAAGCCTCATGGGAGAAGATCAAAGTGATTGATGATTCCCATGTTTCTGGGTTGACCCAGTGGTGCCAATGTTGGAAAAACAGTTTTGTTTTGCGGGGTGGAAAAGGGTGAAATTTGGGAATAGAAGACCTAATTTGAATAAAGTGATCACAGACATTTAAATGGACATGTCCAGGAGTAAGAGGGCAATATGGGTTTGGAGCTCAGAAAAGAAAAGTAGACTGGAAATACGGATTTGGAATTCACTGGCATAAAAATTGTAACTCTGAAACAATGACTGTAAAAGAATGAGCACGTGTGATCAGAATGGGCTCTGTCCTGGGTCCCAGGTATGGGCAAAGGAAAAGAATGTCAGAGGACCTTGGAAACAGATGTTTGAACACAAATCCCAACATCCACTGAGAAACTGTATAAGTGAGGGTCTCTAATGTCCACCAATTATTTGGCCCCATCACTTTCTTACATAATAGAAATTAGCATCTTTTGAATCTCAAATGTATGTCATACATGCCTAAAGGCATTTGAAAGTATTTCACATAAATTACCCCAGTTAAGCCTCACCATTACCTTGCCAAGTAGGTATCAATATTTCCATTTTAGATTTTTTTCATTGAGGTTTCACAGATGTTGAACTTTGTAAACTAGATTGCAGGAACTGTGTCTTACTCAACTAGAGATTTTTTATGAACCAATAATTGATTGTCTCATCCTCATGCCCCCAAATTCTCCCACAGTCTCCCCAGCCCTTAGGACAAAATTCAAACCTGACACACAGTTTACATGCCCTTCATGCTGTGCCCCAGCTTAGCTTTCCTGCCTTGATGGCCCCTATAGCCCCACACGCCCTAACCCAGTGGCTCCCCACATGACTTATAATCACAGCCTTGGGACTCATTTCCTGAGAATGTGATTCATTAAGTCTGGGTGGGGCCTATAAAAATGAGTCTTTGTAAAAGCTCTCTTGGTGAGTCTGAACTTGAGCCAGCGTTGGGAACACTGCTTTATGCATTAAGTCCTCCAGGTTTCATGCCCTTAAACCTGCTGCTTGCACATGTCTCCACACCTTTGCACATGTTGTTTTGACTCCCTTCTTGGTTTGGGAATTCCTACATATCTTCAGCTATCAACTGAGAAATCATTCTTCCTGGGACTCTCTCCTAAACTTCAAATCTGAGTCAACAAGAGGACATGCAAATTGTAATGCAACGTGTTTATTTTATTTATTTTTTGAAATGCTGGGGATTGAACCCAGGGCTTTGCTCATGGTTAGAAAAGTGCTCCACCACTGAACTATAGCCTCAGCACCCCCCCCCCAGTAACATTTTTAAATGAACTGAAACAAGGTTATAAAAGCAATGGATAAAAAACAAGTTAGAATCATGAAAATCCACAAATTAGGTGATTAGGACATGACTTAGGAGAAACAAAACTTCCACAAAGGAGGAATGAAAGAGAAATTCACCTTGGAAATGAAGAGTCAACTAGAAGCAACACAAGAATGCATGAACACATGATGTCTTTAAATAAACAGAAGATGTGAAAACTGCAAAGTAATGAAAAAAGAACTCACCAAATATTCAAGAGAACAAGCTGAGAAGATCTAACACACGTGTGTTTAGAGTCCCCAAGAAGGAAAACAAAACTATACAATGGAGAGGATTTTTAAACTATAATTCGAGACAACTCTCTCTTAAAGAAATATTGAGAGTATATTCAAAAGTCACCTTTGGTACCTGGGAAATTTTACTTGGAATGGGGTAACATGAAAATACATTCTAACACAACTGTTGGACTTTAATAAAAAAAAAAATAAATTAAAAAAAACCACTTTGGTTATTCAGGCAAAAAGACCAAGTCATTTGTAAGGAAAAATACATTATTTATTATTAGACTTTTCAGAAGCAATTTTTATGATAAATAAAAGAGAATAATACATCTAAATTACTGAACGAGAGAATATATTAATCAAAGTTCTCATATTGAGCCAATTTGACGTTCAGTGCATAAAGCTATTATAAACATGGAAGATTTGGGGAAGTGATGGCAACCTAAGTATGACCTGAGAAACCTACCTTTGAGAATGAATGTCAGACTTCCAAAAAGACTAGAAAGATATCAACAAAAGGACTGTGGGGCTTTTTTTATTGTTTTCTTTTCTTGTATTAATTGTACATATTGATCCTGTGTGATATTTCAACACATTCATATAGCATACACTAACCAAATTCAATCTCTCTTTATCCATACCCCACAAAAAACTTTCCAACTTTCCTTAATCACTTTTCTATATTCAGGTTGATTTTTTTTACTTTCACAGTTGAGAGAACGTGCAGTACTTGTCTCTATCTAGCTTATTTTCACCTAACATAAAGTCCTCCAGTTCAATTCATTTTGCTAGCTAGGATTTCATTCTTCATAACTAAATAATATTCCATTGTGTATCTATACCACATTTCTTTTACCCATTCATTGATGGGTATCTAAGTTGATTCCATATGTTAGCTATCATGAGTAGTGTCACAACAAAAAAGGCTATACACATATCTATTTGGTATGCTGATCTCATTTCCTTTGGATATGTCCAGAAGAGAGAGTACTGAGTCACATTGTAACTCTCTTTTTATGGAGGAACCTCCATACTGATCTCCATAATGGCTCTACTAATCTATATTCCCATCAACAGTCAATGAGAGTTCTTTTTTCCCACATCCTTGCCAACATTTGTAAATTTTTTTGTCTTTGTAATAATAACCATTCTAACTGAAGGTCAGAGTTAGGACCTTGAGTTTCTTAAAATTCCCTACTGATTTCATTTCCTTCAGGACTATCTCAATCCCCTTCTCAGGACTGATGTTTTAGTCAGCTTTTTCATTGCTGTGACCAAAAGACCTGATAAGAATAAGTTTAGAGGAGAAAATGTTTATTTGGGAGATCTTGATTTCGGAGGTTTCAGTCCTAGATAGTCATTCCCTGGGCCCTGAGGTGAGGTAGAACATCATGGCTGAAGGAGGTGGCAGAGGACAGCAGCTGAGGACGTGGTACTAGAAAGGAGAGAGAGAGAGAGAGAGAGAGAGAGAGAGAGAGAGAGAGAGAGAGAGAGAGAGCGCTAGCTGTGTTCCCCAAGAACAAAACATACACCCCAAAGGCACACCCCCAATAACCCACCTCCTCCACCCACACCCTACCTGCCTACAATTGCCACGCA